TTCAGATGATTAGGTTAATAGCTCGTTTAGAGAACCTTTTCATGATATGCTAATTTTTTGAGATTTTGGGTTTTCATGAGCTGTATGCCAAAATCATCAATATTAAAACAATAAAAGGCTTGAACTACTTCAGTTGTGTGTAATGAATCTAACATATATGAAAGTCTAATGTTTATCAGTCCATTACAGAAAATAATGAACTTTATCACAATATGCTCATTTTTTGAGAAGGACCTGTAAAATTAACCCTCTAATTCCACTATATTCCACTGAAGCAAATAATTTATAGTTTTGATCACTTTTCCCATCTTTCTCCTGGCTGGTTTGTGTCAGATTCAGGGACACAGAAGCAGTATTTTGGTTAGATGTGCTGTCAGCTTCAAAGACCAAAGCCTATAATGAATAATAAATTATTACTACAATTTCCTTTATTTAAACTTATAATTATATTTCTCTTCAAACCTCCCCTTAACACTTATAGCTATTAAATAAATAAAGATTTTAGCATTTTAGTTACTAGTGCTAATAAATCAAATAATAAGATCCAGACGCAGGTCTTTTAATCAGCACAGCAGGAGGGCAGCGGAGCAGGAACTGAGACTGGGGGAGGTTTTTGTACGGCTCTCTGTCACTGTGTGATGTTTGGAGCACCATAGTCAGCCACACAGTAGTAATCAGCTGCATCGTCAGGCTGAACTTGACTGATCTGTAGAGTGAAGTCAGTCCCAGATCCAGATCCACTGAACCGCGTTGGAATCCCAGTGTTGCGATTGCTTATTTTATATATTAAGCCTTTGGGAGCCTCTTCAGGTTTAAATTGGATCCAGTGCAAGTAGCCATTAAGGCCACTGGAAGTGCTGGTTTTACAGCTCAGGGTCACTGCGCTGCCTGGGAGAGCAGATTTCACTGAAGGAGTCTGAGTCACTGTGATCTGTCCTCTGGATCCTAATAGAATGAACAAAAGGAAACATAAGAAATTATGAAATTTTTGTAAGACAAAATTAATATAAGATCTGAAACAGAGAGATAAATTATTCTAAGTTTGCTGCCTGAGTTTCATCCACAGCCTCCCCTGGACTCTCACCCTGACTGCAGAAGACGAGCGCTGAGATGATGATGGTGATGAAGCTCATGGTTCCCTGNGTCTCTGTGCCAGTGAGACCCGACTGTGACATGAAGAGTTAAACCTGGGGGGTTATAAACACATCAGGCAGGAAACGTCAGTGATGTGTGCAATGCTGACGCCCGCGATGCTCCATGCAGAGAGTCTCTGTGGGTCCCAGCAGCCGCCTGTCACTCTCGCGGGTTACAGCAGCTGTGACGTCCTGCAAGGCGTCTCCTCATCATGGGGAAAAGCAGCCATGAACTTCTCAAATAAATAAAAATACTTTATGAAGTACTGTCTCTCTGTCTGTATTGTCACCTTTTACCTAAATGGTCGCAGAGTCAACTTTCTGTCTTCAAATCATCATCTCCACTGGGACTGTGATTTACACCAATACAGCAACTAATTGTTTCTTATCAACTTGTTAATATAATCACCACATTCACTTTTTGAATCATTTTGAATCATTCTCCAGAGGAATTGATGGCCAGTGTGAGATTAGAATCTGTTGGGACAGCAACACAACTGAATGTGGCAGAAGGACTGAAGAATGGATTTATTAATATTTATTAATATTTATTTACACCCTAAGGACACGGCACACCTGGCAAACAGATCAAACATCCCAGTTTGCTGTGTCAGGGAGACTCTGAGCTGGATGGTAGCTTCCAGTTTCTCTCTCTCCTCATACAAAATCAGGATATTTTACACCTTTAAAAACCAGTGACCGGTTACTAGGGAGTGTGGGGGCTCCTCAGCTGAACTCCCCCCCCCCCAGCTGGAACATCCACACCCCCTCAGTCTCAAAGCCAGCTTACATTTTATATTTAACTATCAGCACCTTTTCTGCAAGGAGATCAAATTATTGCTGTTCTACTGTTTATGCAACTGAAGTATCTTCTGCCATCATGTTGTCAATCGGATGTTAGAACAATTGTAATACATGAGTACATAAAATCTTTACAGGTGCAAATGAATTTCATTTTAAAATATATTTCATTAGGTGTTTGAGCTCAAAAGTTATTCCCCCCCCCCAAAAAGCATCTATTTTTAGGACAGGCTATGTCACGTCGGGAAGAGGGAAGTAGGCAAAGGGAACCGTAGAAACGAATAAATCGGGATTTATTGCGGGCTAACACACTCAAAACAACACAGTAATGACCGGACTGGGAAAACATACTTAAACGCGGACTTAAATACACTGGACTAATGACAACAAGAAACAGCTGGTGAAGACGGGGAATCCAAACGGGGTAGATGAGGGGGCGTGGCACACGGGAGGAGCGGAAGAGCGAGGCATGACAGACTAAGCGATTACTGCACAGCTTAACAGGTCATTTTCATCAGAGGTAATTTAATGTGGGTTTTGTAGTATTTTTTATGCAGATTTCAAATCTGTGTTTAGTTTTTCTCTAGTACGTCAAGTTTTTGTGATGAAGCTATATGTAGTATGATATTGTAATAAATGTGGGTTCTTTAACGCAGCAGAAAACTGCAACAAATACCCGAGCCTGTAATGATCACAACCCAAGATTTATGTAGAAGAATCGACAATCTTTATTAATTCATAGACACTTTTTCTGCAATTAAAAGGGTAAAAGAAGATCACGAGGGCAGAGATAATCAGCAATACCAGACAATGGGCTTCATTACATCACACATTAAATTAAAGCTTACAACCCTCTAAGGAGGCACTGCAGACCACGTAATCCCCACACACTATATAAGGCTGCACACACAGCAGCGAGAAGCCCCATCGCGGGAGGCAGTTACTCCCTCCCCAGTAACACACTCGCGCGCACGCATTCACACACATATAAAAATTGCTTAACTCGCCAGCGGGCGACACCCCCCCGTGGGGTTCAAGTTCAAGATACTATCCTACAATCCGAGGGGAGCACAAGCTCAAAGAAAGTAACAAGGATCAAGCTCACGCCAATATACCGAACCCAACTGCAGCACTCCACTCTCCTAAAAGCCCAGCCCTAACTCACTACTGGAGGCAACAAACCTCCCCTTCTAACGCAGAAACGAACTGATCCCCCTCATCTGTCTGTCTTCGTGGCCGGCAATCCTAAGTAACTGCGAACAACATCCTCCCGTCCCAAGAGTGTCGCGAAGCGGGTATACAAAACAAAATATCTCCCTTCATCTGTTTCTGGTGTCCTTTTATATCCTGCCTTGTTCCGGTGTTCCGGGCAATTCGGTTTCCCTATGTTTCCCCTGTCGCGCGCTGATTTGTACACGGTTTCGCTGTTGTTTTCATGT